TTCTTTTTCACCAAAAGCATTGAAATTGCCAATACTCAGGAACTTTCTTCTACCTTTGTAATTTCCCTCCCAGAACCCCCACTCTGGCTGAGATTCCAGTAAGCACTGATATCAACAAGAGAAGGTTGAGTCAAGAGAATAGACTAAAGGCTTAGTTAATCCACAAACCTATAGTAATCTTGGGAGATGCCCTTTACTCCTCATAAAGCTGTAATTAATACTAAAAAACAGGACATTTTCTATGTCTCTTTTTTACCTGCTCAGTTTTTGGTAGAAAATTTGGGGAAGATTAATGTAGATTAGGGAAATTTTTAAGAAAGTGGGTACACTGGACCAATTACTTAATGATCGGGATGCAGTGAACTATCCCATATCATGATGCTTTCCTTCTTTTGATTACTTTGCAGTGAACACTTAAGGTTTTACAGACATAACGGCTTAAAAACTTTCCTAAACTACATGAAAATCCAAGATATGTGGTGCCCAAATACATACAGACTATGGCCCTTCATATCCAAAAACTTATGATCACCCTGCTTTTATTTTTTATAGAGCCTTTCAAAAAAAAAAAACACCATGAAAGCACACATTTCCGTCTGGAGCAAATGAATTATATGGGTTGAAAATTATATTCATGAATCTGAATATAATGATCTGAAAATGGCACTATCAAAAAAAATCCCATGAGGCTCATTTTGGTAATACAATTTACTTATAAGGGCTGAATCAACAACAACAAAAAGTTGTGGTCTCATTTTAATGAAATAAAAGCAGAGAAATAAAAAAAATGCATGCTCTCTTAAATTCTTGACTATATTGAACTTTAAACATTCCTATCATGTTTCAAAATAGATATAAATCCTATAGAGCATGCAATTATTGCTTTTCAGAGTTTAAAAGACTAAACTGGAAAACTCATTAGCAGAATCAAATATGATGTGGGACTGCCCATCTCGCCTGACCATGCTATGATGTGTCACACAATTCAGCAGAGAGCGGCTGGGCACATCCAGCACTTCCTTGCCATGGCAGGGGAAGGAACAGCTGAGTAGCATGCAGGCCAGTCAAAATTCACTTCGAAAGTGATTGTACATGTACAACTTGCTTGGGTAACCTGGGTAAAAGTGGTGGCACGAGCCTCTGGCTGGTTAAAAAACACCAGAGCTGCACTCTTGATGGCTCCAGCTTGATTTTACCCCTGTGAGAAGTAAGAACGGTAAGCAGTGAAGGTCACAGTATGATATTGCTAGGTTGTGCTTTGGAATTCAACTTCAGATACGATTCTTAAGAACATTTATTCCATATCCTCACCTAGGAAGACAATGAAACCTTTTAAAAAACTAAACTGTAAAAATTCATAGTTCTATAAATATTCGAAGAAATCATGATAACGTGAACTTTAAAAATATAAAAACAAAATTCTACTTTATATCTTGTCACAAGATTTGTATAATTCCAAGTTTTCCCAAGATAAAAAGATCACTATTTTGCAATTCATACCTTTAATTCTCTTACATTTTTTCATGCAAAGCTTTGTATTTGTTTTCATACCAGCCTGTTTATGTTAGCGATCCATAAAATACATATATTATAAAAATAATAACAGCAGTTCATACTTTATCTCGAACAACTTTTAGGGGTCATTTCTCCCCAATTGCACTACAGCTAGTTATATAGTATTATGAAAATGAATGTAAGGAGTAGAGTGACTAGAGTTTTCAAATACCATCTAAGTTAATGATTAACTTACTGCCTCTTCTTAAAGCAGAATGTATGGCAAGTTTTTTAAATTACTTATTATTATTAATTTTTTAGTGAGAAATGTATCACTGTTGGTTTAGTTTGTATGATTTTTACTTTGTCAGCAAAAATAAAGGATATTCTTGCGCCTCAAAATATAGCTCAATGTTCTTTTTCTACTTACGGTCAAAAAACTAAGAAGCATGAACCAAAATGTTACTTTATGGCTATGTTATTTTTCATTTGTGTGTATACGTGTGTGTGCAATAGTTATTAAAAAAGAATAACCCAACCAACATAAATATGCATCTGAAACATGACCTATGTTCAGTGCCAGCAGTTTTCAGAAATTTCAGGTTAAAACTGACCTTTCCTGGAATTTATCTAAGCCTACTGTATAATGTTAGAATATGCTGATTTTTTGCTTTTTATTTTTAAAAACATTGTACTTTTTATCTTTGTGTGAGCATATATGAGAATTGCCCTGTTAACTTTTTCAGGGTTTTTTTTTTTTTGGTACTAATTTTAAAAATCATCCATATAAAATTTATTGTTGAATTCATTTCTGCCATGTGAAGTAATTTGAAATTTTATCCTAGCTTTATAAAAGTATTTAATTTTATATTTAGTTTGATAAATTTTCACACTAATATATCTATACATTTTAAACAATTTCATTACACTCTATACTTGGATTCCATGAATCCAAAATTTAGCTTGGAAGAGGATAGAATGGTTATAGAAAGAGTCACCCAAAAAGGAATTTTTGTTCAGATGATAAAATGTTTTCTAGACATTGTGTCTCCGTATACCAAATTTATGATTTTCTAGCCATTAAAAAGGCATGACAATGAGGTGGTATTTTTCTAAGCAGTCATTTGAAATATCTGTAGGCATTATAGAGTTTTTGAAATATTCTGGAAACCAACTTTTTGGTAGAAAGTAATTAAGATATTTAATTTCCATAAATCCAATGTGATAAAACCTATGATATTAATGCAACAAAATTTCTGTACCTCTTTGGTTTTTCTACCTCTTCTTGATCCCAGGCTAGTCTTGTTCCTAATCCTCCCTTATTTTCTCTTTATAATTACTTCTTTGGTAAGCTCCTCTATTTTCAAGAAATCAGATAATTATCCAATCTGTTTTTAAACCCTGATTTCTCACCCAGCCTCGCACCCCCAACACTGTCACTTCTAATTCAGTATATTCCAATTGAATTCTTCCCTTTTCCCACTTAAACCTAGTAACCTTCCTAAAAAGGCCATTTCAGAGAGTGGACTTACCGTTTTTCCAATTTCCTAGTCTTCACTAGTTTGTCAAATTGCCAGAAGGTCTCAGTGCCCATACATATTACCTTAGCCCAGAATTTCATCACCTCATTGCTGTCAAATGATTGCTACCACATTCCTCAAGATAAACTCCTTCATCCCTCACTCTAAACTGTTTTACTCATTGATATCAAATAAACTTTCCTAAAACATCACTTCCTTTTTGGCTTTCCCCTGCTTCAGAATAAATAGCTCTGTATTGACTATGCAGGCCATTCTAAATTTTTCTACTTACTTCAGAGACTTTACAATCTGAAAATACCTGACTCACCCAAACAAATTTTCCACTGTCTTCTCAACCAGTACTTTATTCATGCTGATTGTTCTACTGCTGCACCTTGATACCAAGCTCATTCTCAACTGTGGCTTTCCTTCAGTAGGGTTTTGCTTTGACTTTTTGATCATTCATTTGACCCAAACTTGGAGGCCTGTTTTAATTTTATCTCTTCCATTTAGCAACTGTCTGTGTTCTTGCTGTTCTTAATACCTATAATTTTTATATTCAGTCTGGCAGGATAAAACTTTTTAATAGGTCTTTAATGATTTTTTAGAATTAGTGTCAGCTTCCTCAAAGATGGTGAGATTTCCCAAAGGGAGTTATATTATAGAGCTCTCCTTTAACTCTTTCTTACTCTTAGTATCCAGCAGAGTACTGAGTTCACAAAAACTGCTCAATAATTGCTCATTAATTAGTTGATGTTTTTTTCTTAAATAAATCTATATTAGTTGATGAAAAATAAAATTAGATTGAATTTTTATTTTATCAGAGTGAGCAATATATAAACTAGATTTGAGCTCACTAAGTGGACTTTGAGTGGAATTCCAAGAATATTCTATCTCATTTTGTGTATGATTTTACCTTTAAAAAATATTTCAAATTTACTGTTATATCTCAGCAGCACTGAAATGCCAGAAAGGATCAAGAGCTATGAGTTTTGACATTGTCAACTACTTATTACTTATACAAATTCTATGGATACCATTCTTAAAAAGAGAAATTTTAAAAATATGCTCACAAAATCAGACATCATCGGTCTGATTCCTGTGGTGCTAATATCATACCCTCAAGCTAAACTTTCATAACTCTGTGCTAGACTTACTTCCCACTGGTATATTAGAAGTCCAAAAATAAGTAATAGTAAAAAATTTTAATCCTGTTCATAATGCAGAATTGCAGAATTAATATATTAAGCTGCTATTATGGGATTCTGTGAATTCTAATCATACAGTAAGAGCAATTCCATTTCTTCTTTGTTTTATTTTGAACAACTAGTAATATAAGTAAGAGCAGCTTTTCAACTTTTACCTCTTATCTGTAATCCTCAAGTGGAGCTTTTCTAAGTAGGTTTTAGCATTTTCAAGTTAATCTGGAACACTGTGGATTTGCTCATCCTTGACTGGGCAAAATGTAATCAGTGCTACTTGCACATTCCAAATATGTGTAACACTTTCATAAATGAATAACACTCTATCATAGTCAGTAAAACTTCGGAGGTGAACAAAAACTACATAAAAGTTTCACATTAAAAAATCAGAGCAAAACCTAACATAGACAGTAAAGAGAGGACACTTTCACAACGATCAATAAAATATGGTTCGTTGATATGTCTAAAGAGCATAATGCAGTGTATAGAATAGAATGTATTAAATATGGTTTATTTTTTGGCAGGCCACATTTTTAGCCAGATTTTCAAACTATCAAGAAGATGAATATACAAATTATTCAGAATGATGATTTCCTTTGGAAAGTTGGAATTTCTATGAATGGATTTCCCAATAAAAAATACCTCATAATTTTCCAACACTGCCATGTATATATGACTTTCAATATACTTTTTAATAATGCATATAAACACAATAAAAATACTAAATAACCATAATGGATGGTTATCATAGGAAATGCAACAAAAACTTTAAAAGCATTCTTACCTCTTTGCTTTCTTCTAGTTCTGACTCACTGCTAAACTCTTCAGTATTTAAGTTTTCAAAGTCAGACTCTCCAACAGCAATTGGCACTGTTACAGTGAGGCTGGGGTTGTTTATGAATGACATATAATCATTTTCATCGATTACATATTTTTCAACACTGCTTCCGGTACCTACACCACTGGTGGTTCCATTCCCATCTTTAAGATAATTAAGTTCTTTGCTTATTTCTATTCCAGTATTATTGGATATGCAGCTGTCTATTTTGTTGCCTTCATGGATCTCTATAACTTTTGGCTTTCTAAAAAAGGTTTTTCTGAAACACTCCCGTATCTTATTTTTCACATAATCAATTCCCTTTTGCATCCTTCCTACTGCAATCTGGAGATTGTTCATTTCATTATCATCATCTGTAGCAGCAAGATTGTCTGAGCTAAATGAGCTCAACAATAAGGCCAGAAAGAGGTTCAGAACCTAAACGAAAAAAAGAAAATTTGCTATATTAATATGAAGTATACATAAAATAATAAACAGGGTACTCATAGATCTTTGCTAAAATTAATTCAACAAATGCTTCTTGAATGCTTACTGTATTTCAGACATGTGTCTTAATCACACACTATTTAAAGGACCTGACACCTTCTACCTGCTGTAAGGGCAATATGATAAAACAAGTGCCTGTTCTTTCATACCAAGAAGGACAACAGGAAACCAGAACTTCTAAGACTTAAATTGTCTACTCAGGGTTGCCAGTGAAGAGACAAAAATCCCATTTTGATGGTTTTGGCCAATGAGAAAAAAAATTCTAGTCATTTTAGTTCATGTTATCAGTTTGTCTAGAGAATTGTCTAACTTCATGTGTATAAATAATTTATTTATTTGATAGCCTGGCGATAATGTGTTAAAACAGTATACTTTTTTTTTTTTAAAGATTTTATTTATTTATTTGAGACAGAGAGAATGAGAGAGAGAGAGCACATGAGAGAGGGGAGGGTCAGAGGGAGAAGCAGGCTCCCTGCCGAGCAGGGAGCCCGATGCGGGACTCGATCCCGGGACTCCAGGATCATGACCTGAGCCGAAGGCAGTCGCTTAACCAACTGAGCCACCAGGCGCCCAAACCAGTATACTTTTAACATAAATTCCTTTGTCCAGTGGCCACAAATTTATAACAGCCGAAATTTCTAAAAGCAAATTATGTAAGGTTAACACATTTCCCATCAAAGCAAGAGCCCTAGTTTGTTTCCTTATTTCTGTATCAGATTTTGGTCAGAATCTAGAGCTTCCTAATTCACTATTCTGAAAAAATACATGTCTACAGTTATCCCACAAACATTCTTTAAATCAGTCTTACTTGAAATGTACCTCAAAGGAAAGGTTAAGTTTGATGGCAGGAAGACCACTACGTACACACATAATTGAGAAACGTAAGCATTAAAACACATAAATATACAAATTGTGCTTATACATTAGTGCTTTTAAGTCAGAACTAAAAGTAAGCTTCTTAAATCTGGTCAGTGTCTATACATGTGAATAACTTAAACTGCAATAATTTATTTTCTTTTAAAAAGCAAATTCAGAGAAGGATATATTTTGTCCCCTTCCAAGTCATTTGAATAATTACAATACATAGCTACAATATAGTACCCTAAAATTTATTGAAATTGATCTTCAAAATTTGGTAAAATGAAGCTTATGCTTCTGAGTAAGCCAACATGAACTACGAATGTGTAAAGAGCAATTTCAATATAGAATAGACAGTTATATTTTTAGATTTACTGGAGATCATTTTCTTCTCCAAGTAATAATAGGATAAAAAATAATTCAGGCCATAACGGTAATATGGGGATAAAATTACTCTTCATAAAAACATTTCCTCAAAAAACAAAGAAAAACTAATATTTTTGCTCCCAAACTTTCACAGATACACTTTAGTTAATCCTCACACCAACCATAAGATTTCAGCTTTGTTATTCAACTTTCATGGTTGGGAAACTTCAGACTCAGAGAAGTTAAGTAACTTGCCCAAGCTCAGAGTGCTAGTGCTGGGATTTAAGTCTGCGTTATTGATGATAAAACCAGAGCTATTCATTGCATCAGGCAACCTTCCTACCTACTGTCTGATCTTGTTCTTAATTATGAGCATTTGTAATATATACGTACCACAAGGTTTCCAATGACCATGACCAACATGAAAACAATAAGGCACATGGTTTGGCCAGCGACCTCCATACAGTCCCACATGGTCTCTATCCACTCTCCACACAGCACGCGGAACACAATCAGGAAGGAGTGGAAGAAGTCATTCATGTGCCAGCGTGGGAGTTGGCAGTCACTGGAGATCTTGCAGACACATTCTTTGTAGCTCTTACCAAATAGCTGCATGCCGACCACAGCAAAAATGAAGACAATGATGGCCAACACCAAGGTGAGGTTACCTAAAGCCCCCACAGAATTGCCAATGATCTTTATCAGCATATTCAGTGTGGGCCAGGATTTTGCCAACTTGAAAACTCGAAGCTGTAATTAAGTGAAAAGATACTTTCAGTAGTAATCACAGTATAATTTTGGAAGTTGGTTAGACATTGTTTTATTATTATACCATAATGTAGACCTACCTCTGAGGGATATAAAATCTCAAACCATACTAAAATTCAAATAAAAAAATAGTTAATAATACACAAATTATAAATCAAATCATTAAATGCAAAAATAAAAATAAAATAGGTCAGGATAAATAAAACATTCCTGATTCATCAATAGATATATCCCTGAAAACAAATTAATATTTTGATTAGAGACATTTAAATTGAATTGATTTTAGCAAACTAATGTCACCCTCAGACTATATTTTAGAGTAAAAAATATTAAAAGTATGACTTACATATTTTAATATATATAAAATAAAACTAAAATAACAATTTGATAAAAATAATGTACATAAAGGCTTCCTTTCAATTTGAAAAAATATACATTTTACTTAATTTCCAATAAAATTTTATATATTTTTAAATAAATTTTTTTGCCAAATTTAAAAAAGTTTGTTAGACCATTGTTTAAAATGCTAATGGTATCAAGTATTTCCCTACATCTTCCTTTAAAGTAGTTCCCACTAATATAAGTAAGATTGAAAAAAGCTAAGGTTAATTGAGGCCTAAAATTGTTATTTGCATTTCTTTATAGAGTTGAAGCAAAAAAATTTTTGAGTGAATTTAAAACCTAATCTGAGGCACATGTGTGTTTTTAAATATGCCCTAGATAGCTAATCATTGTGAAGTGTTTCAACCATCTTTATCATTCTTAGAAAATAGTCACACTTAGCTTTAAAGAGAATGTTTATATATCTTCTTAAGAGTATCATGTGTATTGGTGTAGATTTAAAATATTAATAGTAAATGTAAGATACACATTGATTCATTTTCGAAATAAATTTTATGCCACTGATAGAATATAAACATAATCTAAGTAGATACCAGTCTGAATGATCTCAGTACAGACAATCCCTCCACATTTGCCAGGCCAAGCTCCATCAAACTAAGGCTGACAATAATTCCATCAAATATATTCCAGCCTTCTTGGAAATAATAATATGGATCCATGGCAATGATCTTGAGAACCATTTCTGCTGTGAAGATCCCAGTGAAGACCTAAAGTAAAATAGAGATCACAAACACTGAAAAACTTTTGACACTGCAAGAATCTGTAAAGAATATTAAATAGTCCTGAGTAAAAACATTTAACATTTAAAATGGAGAAATGTGACAAACTGATATAAGTTTAACATTTTTTTCCAGGAGAGTATTTTAAATGGATTTGTTTTATTTAACAAATCTGCTTGATATTCCAAGAAAATCTGATTTTAAAACATTTCCTCATTCACATAAATAAATAAAATAAAAAAAAATAAATCTCATAGTGAGTAGTAACCACTGAATTACTCCCCTTTTTGGTACACCAGCCTTCTCCCATAATCACAGTGAATTTTGGTTTTAAGTATTATTGCATTAGGAATGAATCTACATGTTAATTGAAGTTACTCTAAATTTATTTTAAATTTGGTAAAAACCATATTTTATTCTTGATCTTTGTGGGTTTTTAAAGGGACACCATCTTATTTCTGTAATTTTGTAAATATTCCTGAAATAAGAGTGAGTTTGCCACAAATGTTTTATGATAATATTCTCTGGATGCATGCCTCAGAATTAAGGTTAATGGATTGATAGAGCAAGAAGCTGCAGATTTAATTGAAAGCAGCAGGAGAACATTCTCAGTATGCATACACCCATAATTAAAATTAATAAATTATTTGAATGGTTGGATGAATGTGTTTGACAATAGAAATAAAATGAAACAAATTCAAAATTTGTTTTTTAACTCAGAACCACAGGCTAAGAGACCCAGGGGCATGAAGAGTTATGAAATTACTCTTGCAAAAAATTTTTTAAGGCAAATATCCTAATTAACCATAAGTAAAAGCTGCATTTTATAACTATAAAGTCAAGCTTACCATTTACAAGGTAAATCAGCCTTTACCTTGAAGGAACTCTGTCAAAATAATGGTATCAAAGTTATTTAAATTTCCTAAAATATCATGTTAATTAAAAGAAATCATTATCTACTCTTAAAAATGTATAAATGCAGCTAACATAGGGGCGTCTGGGTGGTTCAGTCAGTTAAGCACCCGACAGCTCACGTCATGATCTCAGGGTCCTGGGAGAGGCAGAACCCCCCCGCTTCCGGCTCCTAGCTCAGCAGGGAGTCGGCTTGAGGATTTCTCTCCCTCTACCCCTTCCCCCACGCACGCTCTCTCTCTCTCTCTCTCAAATACATAAACTTAAAAAAGAAATAAATGCAGTAACATATTATTTTCATAAATATAGGAAGACCTTAGGGAAATACCCATCCCAGAAAAAATAGCTTAACTTCAGTTCATCATTCATTCACTCAAGTGGAAATAAAATGTTTTTCAAGTAATCCTAGTGCATGAAAATCTGGATATATGGTGGAATACACACTGAAAATTATTTCTTTTTTATTTTATAGAATGACTCACCATAGGATTATTTTTCCCTGGTGAATTTAAAATAAATTCTGATTTAAAGAAATTTTATTTCTTATTCTAAGCCTCAGAAGCAGCTGCTTGAATTAGCAACCTGAATTAAACCAAGGTAGAAACTATCCAGGTAAATCTCTATAAATATTCCTTTCTACAGAAATATCATAGGATGATCTTTTCAGCTCTTCTGAAATGACCAGATCTCCTGCATTATAAAAACCTATGCCTTAAATGTACATTCTTTCATCTAAAATGTAATCCCAACATGAAACTCCTTTTTTAAAATAATATTTTAATTATAATTTGCATTTAAAATTATATTTATTCATATCTTTAAATATTTTCAGTTTAGGTCCTAAAAATCATTGGTATTGTTTTTTGGTACATTTTAGTCTAGTTTAAACTGCAATGTCAGTGATTGCAAGTTTTTAAAAATTCCTTCTCACTCTAGCAAAAGTCAGTCCAGCATACTGATTTAATGCCTTTGTTTACATGATTTTTAAATTCCATCAAAAATTCTAAGAACAAAAAGAACTGGCAACCTCTGGATTTGTATCAGATTATGTAAATCCCATGTATGGTTTATAAAAAGTGCTAATGTGTGGTTTCTAAACATACATTCAGCTGCCTTTGAGTTTTCTATAACACAAAGAATTTTTAAGATTCAAGACAATAAAAAACATATCAAATGTTTATTGTTTGGACTTAGCCTAATTCTATCTTGTTTTCTTGAAGAAGTTTTTTGTCTTTTGAAACTTTGGGTTATATGCTTCTGTAGCTACTCATTCATTTAGGAAAAAACTGCTGAACACCTAAATGGAAGACATTTTGCTGGTATTTCAAAATATAGTAGTAATTAAGATATACAAACCTGAGACTGCATAAACCTAGTTCATTTAGGCTGATAAATTTCTTATGGACAATGAATTTATAGGCTTCCTAAGCCAGCTTCTTTAGTGAGGAGATAAGTTCAGTGAAAAGTTCCTAACCGATTGTACATGATGACACGTGATAAATAGCAAAAGTGTAAGTGCTAAGGATGGAGATGAGAATCAGCCTGGGAGTCTGGACGAAGAATAAAGAAATTTGGAGCATTTTGAGTTGTTTTGGGGGGCACAACACTTAGGATGATCAAATGTTGAGGAATAAGGTCTTATTTCAGGAATGGGAAGGTTTTCCTATTGAGTGTTTACTTAGGAAAGTTCTGTTGATGGACATTAAAAGGAGAAATGTTCATTCTAAAGGCTGAATATTGGTCAGTTTGCTCTACAGAACCTCTACTTGCCCAGATTGATGATGTTCTATTTTTTTTTTTGTAGTGAATTTGATGTAACTGTAGTCTACTTTTGCTGTATTATTATTAGCTTCTTGTTTTAATGGTTTTAGTTTTATTATTCCCATGCCTTTTGGATACACATCTTTAAATATTTTTTGTTGTTGTTGTTGATTGGGTGGGGAAGGTGAAATTGAAATACACTTAAAGAAAAATCATGGGAAATAATTTAACATTTGTGGTGTTCTTTTCTCTCATCTGTCAAATGAGGATATTCATTGAGATGACTCATAAGGTCTGCATCTAAAATTCTTGGATTTCTGTCAACATTGTATTGCCTACCAAATTTTATTTAGCAGTTGGTGTACACACAATTATTACACAAGACCCTCATTATAAATTGTTAGTTTGGAGACAAGATAGCTTTATATGATAGTAGGAAAGGAGTTAGATGGATAGGTAGCACTCTTTCATTGATGCAAGATCCCTCCAGGTGAATTTTAGGATTCAGCTCCTAAGTGTTTTATCCGTCAATAAACAAGAGTTATTTTTTTTCCTTCAAAGAGTTATCATGTCCCTTTCCTGAGATTTTAAATTCAAACCCTATACCACACCATTTAATTGAAATAATTTCCCTAATTGTGTTTCTTTAGGCTTTTATTTGCAAATGAACTATAAGATCCTTAGTACAGGTACCATATTCTGAATTCCCTTCAGGGTCCAGCAGAATAAGGGGATATCATGGACTCTTAATCACTGGTTACAATGAGAGTTATGGTAAGAAAAGTAATCAGTGTAGGAGCTACAAACCTCTATCTGTATTCCCTGAAGAAAGAGTTACCAGTTAGTTGGGAATGTTTGTATGATAGAGAGGTTGTCTAACCTACTATGATTGATGGGAGATTTCTTGCTTATGAAATCTCTAAGGTGGGTGCATGGGTTTTATAATGGTTAAAACAAAAACAAAAAAGAGCATCTCAGAGAAACTCAACAGATATTTGAGGTCTTCTGATACTCAAATTTGATCAGTCAATCCAATTAGTAGAGAAATGATGTAATTTTTATGTGCTCCAGAAACAGGATACAAATGGGGCACATTGATCTAAGTAAACCTGAAAGTTCCAGAAGTCTTTTACAGGATGTTCCTTTGTTAACAATTCAACCCAAACCTACATGTCCTCTTTATAAGGTATTATGTAATCATTTGAATAGTAATAACTACTCCATAGAAACTAAATTTATTTAAATGAGCAAACTATAAACTCCACAAAATATGCAATGCAACCATCCATGGTGTATAGTATAGTCCAAAGTCAGCTAAGTACCCATGATATAAGAAATATATTCTCTCCCTCTTCCTCTTCCTCTCTTTTTCTTTTTCTCTTTGTCTCTCTCTCTGTCTATCTGTCTCTCTATATATTGATTTTTTTACATATTATTTACATATAAACATATATAATTTTCTATACATAAATATTATAAAGCTTATTATGGGTATAAAATAAGATATATGGGAAACTATGAAATACCTTATACGTATGATATTATTATTAACAGGAGCTCTCACTAATAGAAATAGTGTACACATTTTCCTACTCTTATGGTTAGAAATAGTTAACTCAGGTCTGTTTCCTATCATGTGCACTCTCTATCTTGATGAGCCTTGTATTCCCATTGCTAACCTCAGCTTACCAATGGTTTTACCACAATCTGTCAGTCATCAGTCTTCCACCCTACTTCTGTACCTCATTATCTCCATTGCTACACATTAAGTTACAGAATTTTGGAACTGGAAGGGACATTAAAAATCATCTAGTTTAATACATTCTACTCATTAGAAAACAGACCTAAATATTTAAATGGCTTTTTCAAGAGCACCCAGTTATTTAGCATGGACTTTTGGACTTGAACCCAGATTTGGTGCTTTAGTCTAGTGCTTTTCCATTTGATCATCCTATAATCCAACCTCTCTTATCCTGTGCTTCCAAACTCTAGTGCTTCAACATTGGAATTCTATAAAACCTGAATTTCCTGCTTCACTCTGGCAAATTTCCAAAATTTCTTCCCAACTCTTCAACTTCCCCGACTGTTCAGTATCTTGGGAAAAATACAGGAGCTAGAGCAGAACTATTTTCCATCAGTATTTCAGAGAAAGGTTAATAGCATAGATTAGAGGAAGGAAATTGTTTATTGAGCACATGCTAGATGCCAGGCTCAGTATTGTTTTCATATTTCCTCATTCGGCCTTCACAACAACTCTGGGAGATGGGTATCATTATATTCGTGTTAAAATAGAAAACAAGGACTCAGATTTTTTATCAGACTTGTCCAGATGCTACATTATTAGTAAGCATTGGCAACGAGGCCAAACCCAGTTCCACCCAACTCCAAAGCCCATATTCTTTCATGAAAACATGCTACTTCAAACAGCCCGTTTGGGTAGGAAACAACCAGTTGGTTATTTAATGAACTACAACCATGTAATCACTATAGGAAATACAAAGGAAAAATGGGACATAACCTTGAAGAATATGAAGAATTGAGATGAAGTGATTTGAGTCAGAACACTCTAGATGTGAATGTAGAAAACAGTGAAATATTTTCCCATATGTAATTGTATAAACATGTGCTGTTTGTGTGGTACGGTGACATGGCTGTTCTGATGGGCCAATAGTGGCTGATTATGGACAATAAGATCGTATAGGAAGGATAGGATCAGATGGGGAGTCTTGAAAATCAGGTAAGACTGTTGAACCATAAATACGGATGATAGATACTTTACCAAAGTGCAAACATACTGAGTGCAGAGTGTTAAAAATATTTTAATCATAGTTATAAGATTAAAAAAGAGGTACCTTGAAAGATGAAATAATGGATCTTCTTATCAGCTTATATATATAAAAATAAAGGAAAAGTAAGTAAAAATGGCTATTAGATTTCTATTTTTGAAGTTGGAAGACTCTTTGAAGCTGGGAGGCTACTACTAGAAGTAACATAAGACTGAACTGAGATAGTTAGGAATTTCAATAAGCTGTGAGAAAGATGATCTTTCAGCTGTCACATATTATGTTTAAAGTTATCCTTGACGTTCTGTGACAGTTGGAAATATAGGACCAGGGCACAGCTTATACCACAAGAGTAGATAATTCCTATAGTTGTTGAGTACATAGAAACATTGAGTGGAAAACATAGCCTTAGTAGACATAAGAAGTCCAGAAAAGAAGGAGTGATTGGAAAGATCAAGGAACAATCATTAAAAAAAAAAATCCATTTATAGGTGCCAAAGATGAAGAAAATCTCAAGAATCTGGTAGGTGTTCTACTAAGTCAAATAATGGAGTAAAGTTGAGGTTACTTATGGGGTAGACATTTATGTAATTGTCTGCCAAGTATTCCCTTTTCAACTTCTGTTAGGAATTGCTCCTCCACCTGTTTGATTCCTCAGGTCTATCATGTTTTCACATGGCTCCACCTTCTGCCTCTGATTAAACCAGAGGTGAGCATCTGACTTAAGCTATGCCAAACAAGAGTCCTATCGTGAGTCTTTGAACTAGAACTGAAAAAGAGATACAGTTTTTTTCCAATGTAGAGGTTACAAGATGTAAAACCAGTGAGCTATGGCTGAGCATGTTTCCTGACCCAGAGACAAAAGATGAAGTGAACATTTGGCCTACATCCAAGCTCTTGGTTAAAGCATTTCCTGAAGCCCAACTGCAAAATTACCCTTTATATGGTTTGGTAGTTCATCTTTTTCTTTCCATTCTAGGAGTCAATGTTTTTTTATTTTCCCCTTAAGCTAGTTTGAGTTTGTTTCCGTCTTGTGCCAAAAAGGAAGCTCTCTTGATTAATCCTTTTTTTACTTGTTTATACATTTCAATTTTCTCATATAAAGGAGGAAATGTACATGTCAGCATACACATACACAGATGTCTGCTCAAATAATTTGAACCAAAAGTATGGCTAAATTTTACAAATGCCATTTCACCAACTATTTCTTCTCTTGTGTGAATACTACTGAAGCATTTTATTAGGTAATTCAATTTGAAGCAACTATGTTCTCTTTTATACAGAAATAAATCTTTATATATTTCCTTTAATCAACATGATTTCTTCAGAGGCTGTGTATATTAAAACTGTATTTTTGTGGAACCAGAATTAGATATTATGGTTTTTCTGGACCTATATTTCAGCAAGAACGACAGTAAAAATTTTAATGAGCCTACAACTGGTAAGACACCATGGTCAATTAGTAAGGACATTGGTCTGAGCAATCAGCATTCATACCAGTTGAATTTTAGATCTTATTGCCTACACAGCACAAATGGATTTTTTCTTTGGTCTATATCTCCCGCCCCTACCAAAGGAAATAAGTAGACTTCAAATGAACTTACCAAGTTTCCTACAGTCAGTACACTACTGAATTGGCCAGTCATTGGGTAGTGCTCCATGGCCATAAAGAGGGTATTTAAGACAATGCAGATAGTGATGGCAAGATCAACAAATGGATCCATAACAATTAAATTCACAAGATGCTTTACTTTTAACCATGCATCACAGCAGTCCCAGATCAAAAACACATTGGCAAATCTGTACCAGCATGGTGGACATTTCTGTCTAGATTCTTCAAGTTCTAGGGGAATAATAAAAAGGGAGAGTAGTAAATAACAATAAAAATGAATTATTGTTGCTATAGATTATACATTATTTTATACAATCAATGCTTCTACCTGGGGATGGAAGTTCATATTACTTAGCTTAACAAACTTGAGAAGACAATCCCATTAAATATTTTCACAAAATATTCATTAAAAATTTCATATAAACATCTTTCTCCTTTAATTAAATGTAGAAAATAAACACCTTCATTTAATATTTTGCTTCAAATTAACTAACTTTATTACCTAATAACTAGGTAATTATTGATTATATTGCAATATTCTTTTTATCAAAACAATTTTTATTTTATCTTACTTATTTTTTTAGATTTTATTTATTTGTTTGAGAGAGACAGAGAGAGCATGAGCGGAGAGAGGGAGAAGCAGACTCCCTGCTGAGCAGGGAGCTGGATGCTGGGCCAGATCCCAGGATCCTGAGATCATGACCTGAGCTGAAAGCAGATGCTTAACCGAATGAGCCAAACAATTTTTAAATAAGCTTTACAGAAATATTAAATGTATCAAACACTTATTATTTCTTTTGAAAGTATCTATTTAAGAACACTGTCTAAAGCTATGATCCTTATTAATGTGTGCGACCAATTCTGTCTTCTGATGTCTCCACATTAGCATTAATCTTGCACACAATGAGAATGTAGTATGTCCTTTTTGGTATAGATTCAAACCCATATCTACTTATGTTATTCATATTTACTCATATCTTTCAGAATTTTAACATAAAATATTTTTCAAAGTTGCTAGTAATTTTAATGGGTGAAACCTGTTGTAGTTATTATGTGACTGTTCAGGTATCATACACGCCAACAGGACAAGATACAAAATATATCTGATATATTCTAAAGAACACATGTTACGCATGTTAAATCTACTTATGTAAAAGACTTACAAAATTACAGAACTAATGTAATATCCCTCCAAACTTCATTAAGTGGAGAATTATTTAATGAATGAATAGGGGAGTATTAGTTGCTGTCTGTTCCCATGGGTCAAAATCAGCAAGCATTTGTGTAAGCTCTCCTTTGGAGTAATGTAATGGTTTCTGTTTGTGTGGAAGATGGAGAAGAGATCTTTTCTTAGGGTCAGTGTTGAACACAGGTTTTCATTTGTTCAGTTCATTCACATGCCTCCCCCAACCACATCACCGCCTCCCTGCCTGGAGAACAGACTAAAGCTTGAAAGAGATGTTTCCTTGTACTTTTACATACCAAGACTTAAGAAGGGAAGTGTATATTCTAATTGTTTAGGGATAATGTAAGATAATGATAAAAACTCACTGACATAACATGGAGGGGGGAAATAATCACTCTGCAGACAAGATAAGGAGTTAAAAAGAAAAGGAACAGTATTAGTTTTTGTAACCAGTGTGATAATACTGTATTTTATATATCATCTACTTAGACAGTTCTGATCTTGGGTAATTGACTTTGGTAATTTTATGAGAAGAAATAGTCCCACAAAGCATATCATCTTGTAAAGCTGACTATCTCATGTCCTGCTTCTTACCCTCCATTGTGTTGGTCAGGATGCTAGCTATGCTCATGGCTCTTTGCCGTCCAGAGGAATCCTCCAGCATCTCCATTGAAATCTGGTAAGAACTTAGCCTTCTCTTTCTGACTTCCGTTTCAGTGGTGGTGCCCTGCAAACCAAATACTGATGGTTCAAACCACCCTTTCTATGAATAATACAACACCACATAGCATTTCTTTGGACAGTCATGCTACATGCAGTTTTTCCAGGTAATAACTTTCAAGTAATAATAAAATACTGAGTTTATTATTAAGTTATAAACACTTTTAAAAAAAATTATCACAGGTGATAGTGTTTAACAAGAATTCACCAGTTAGATGCAACTGTATAGGGCAATTTTGTTGCAGGAATGTTTTAATTAACCTGTTGGAATTTTCAGAGAAATTTTCATAAGCATGCTAAAGTCATATATTGTTTCATTTCACTCAAATGGAGATTATTTTCAGCTTATCTCAATGATTAATAATCAGATCAGTCTTCTCCCCCCAAAATAATAGGATTATAATGTTGTGAAGCTGAATTGTTTTCTTTGAAGCTGTATTGACAATATTGACGTATATGGGCCAGTTTTTTTCCATGCACAAACACAGATGTACAATGAAATGTGTGTGCTTTCCTGAGATTTCTTTGATTATTTCTATATGCCATCCTATAAGAAATCAAAACATTTTAGAGTCATTTTAATACACATCAAAACATTTTAGCATCCCTGTAATACCGATTTATGTATGGAAACTGCCTATTATCAATATATCAATATATATTATCAATATATTGGTCATGATAATACTTAATTTTAAGTATATTAAATTTCCAGAATTTGAATAAAAATTATATAATTCTGTGAGAGCACACATTTATAATAACAATTTGGTTGTCACAGTGCCCATTATTTTATGTTGGTAGGTCTATTGAATTTGCAGATATGTTTTCTCTCGGACTCTAAAAACTCTAAGGCATTTGAAAGCTAATGGTCCCAAACAATTCAATTGGTTCTAAAGATTTATTATTTTTCATTCAATAAATCATATATTATTTCTGAGGCATTTCATTTTGGGGAAGCAGGATGGTGTAACAGGCTAAACTGCCCAGGCTTCGATTATTTCAAATTGGTGTATAATGTCAGTAGTAGCTAACTTATCTATTATCACCTCTGGCGGAAGTTGTCCAGTAGGTGAGGTTAGAGCTGACGGTCCACCCACCAAGGAAACCACACCATTGCAATCCACAGTGCTGTGCATCTTCCCATTTGCTGGAAGCCCTGGCACCATCCTGGATGACATACTGGCCTGACTAACGTTACTGTTGCGTCGCTCTCCGTGTCTGTGCGGCACAAACAATGAGTCTCTCCTGCTCTCGCTGTCTTCAAATGTACTGTGCTCATCATCAGCAAAGTCATTTTCAGAACCGACGTCCTTTGCTCGACCTCTGAAGCTGAAAATGCTTGTTTTGCTATTGCGTCGTGGGGAAAACAGGGAGCCACGGATACTTAACAGAGACTGAGGAGAGAGCAAGGAAGAAAGGAATTGGGGGGGTGGGGAAACACAGTTACTTAACAGAAGTCTTAATATTGCAGAATCTGTTTGCATTTGGATTAGAATACTCTTGCTCTTAAATACAGGTAGTCAAGTTTATAGATAACACGTACGTTTTGATATTTTTATTAAAGACCACAATGCAAATTTATGTAAGAGTGTTTTTTTCTGATTAAGAATCCTAATTTGCAATTTGCTAAGTGCACAACCATTTCATTTGATCTTAACTCCAATACTGTGAGGTGGATTTTGTTATCATAATGTTATAGGTGTGGAATGTGATGCCAGAAAGGACAAATAATTCTTTTTGGAGGAAGTGGTGGTTAAACAAATAGTAGATGGCTTTTACTCTGAAATGCTATGATCTGAAGGGCATGCAACTTGGAAAATAAATTATGGCTCAAGAGAGATTGTTGGCTCAAATTTAAAATATCTGTACCAAATACGTTACTTCTAGATAATGACTTAAAAACAAAACTATTATCTCTCTGTTCTCTTCTTTTGAATTCTAAAAGGAAATTAGTGTACTCTTTTTCTGGATCTGTTTATCTCTGTCCACGTGGGAATAAAAGTCACGAAACTTACCTATGATGCTGTCTTCCAAATTTGCTAATAGTTTCCCAAATAGCTACTAGTGATTCACCTTAAGAGAATACATGTCAAAACAAACACAACAGAGAGACTTCCTAAAGTGCCATATAAATTGCTATTATTACTTAAAATTCAACACTAGATTAAAAAAGCAAGACATATGTACATGACTTTACCGAGGAGGGTAATGTAGAAGACAGCTTATTCTTTTGATCTCACTTTAAATTTTATTAAAAGTAACTGGATGATTCAAAACTTTTTTTATTACATGTGTTCACAAATAAATTGAGTAAATGGTTTCTGGTACTAGAAAATGAAGATTTAGCATGAAATCCATTCTTTCACCTTTTGAATGAATTTTAAACTAGCAGCACCAAATATGTCTATTCTAGCCTTGGTCATAGTTTTCAAAAACATCTCTATTCAGTCTGTGGAATCTTTGTTTACTCTCCTCATTGTTAACAATGACATTCCCCATTGCTCCCCCCGCTTGGACTCTTGTGACCTCCCCTACCTGTCTTCATAGCCAGGGTTTTATATATATATATACGTGCATGTATATATGTATATATACCTATATATGTATATATATGTACACACACATATGCATACATATCCATATGGCCACGGTAAACATTCCTGTACCTTTCCATTCTTCTTCCAAACTTCAGTATAAAGCCAAATAAAATAATTTTAGTGGGAAAAAACATAGGAAAGGCAGACTCCATCAAATTTATTTTTGGATCCTCTGCCTAATTAGGTCATGCTCATTTTCTTAGGCCCCATTTTTAGCTTTATTTTTATGGCTTTTCCCAGCTTGCAAAGCACCAGAATAATCGTGTTGCCCTCTTGTCATAGTGATGTTCTGGAAAGATAGTATTCATTAAGAAATGTGCTATTGCTTTGGACATAGTTAGACTATCCAGCTTGTCCAACCCAAGACTGTGCTTTTTTGATACTTAGTTTGTACACAGTTGGCTACCCAATGTCAGACAGTAGCTAGACTGATTTTCTAGTTAATCAAAGTGATCAAGAAATCAGTATCGTGAAGACTTAAACTCAACCCCCAGTAATAAACAATGTTAATGTTTTAATTTCCTTAGACTCAATTTTAATTATCAATATAATACTGGTCATTATCAAACTTGTGTTTTAAAACTTTAGTGTGTATTTTTAGGTCCCAGGTTTTTTTTTGTTTTGTTTTGTTTTTTATTTGACTTGGGATTCAGTAAGTAGGGAATAGGACTCTGGAAATTGAATATTCAACACACATTCCAGGTGATTCTAATGCAGGTACTAGAAGAATACTCTTTGTCTTGCATTAATCCCTACGATGGTTCAATGTAATCATCTTAGTATACCTATGTTCAGCGACTGTCTTTGGAAACTGAAAATCGGTCTGTACTATATTGGTTGAGAGTATATGGTATGTGTGCATGTATATAATGTATCTGGTACATGCCTTTAATTTGAATGTTTTTATGTTGGGGTGTTTTCAAAGTGTTCCAGAATTTTGACTTTTATTTGAAACTTCTATTCACTCTTTGGAAAGTATAATAATGGGTGTGAGCACAGCTTCCAAAGCAACAGAGACTGAAAAAGAAGATAACTAAAATAGTATTCAGAGAAAATAAACCAAAAATAACACACTAGAAGATGCAGCAAAGTAGAGGGAATACCCACAGCTGTGGCAGCCCTTTCTCTAAGGAAAACAAGCTTTTATGCTTTAAGGACTGAAAGGCCATTTTTCTTTGCTTCAGGCATGACAAAACATGAATCCCAGGTATCTTTATTTTTTTTGCCTTGTTCCAAGAAGGTAAATATGAACTTTCTCTCTTATAATTTTTGTTAACAAAAGGGAAAATAGAAGAAATTAGGTCTGTAAAACACAATCCTGCAGGTAGGGATTGAACTTGAAGTCAATTGGGAAAAGTCCAGATAGGAGATGATGCGGAGAATATAAAGATGTTCTCGTGGAAACATGTAAAGTGAGTACTGGAAATACTCAATAGCATTTCAAGTTAACTGTATGTACCTATCAGTGTTTTCAATAAATCAACAACTATACTTGGTTATAGCAACACCTGGTTTAAAAGAAATTGTCTCGGTGTGTCCAAACAACATAGCTAAAATCTTTGGAGGGGATTCACTTCCCATTGTACACCCTTAAGTACCTTTTCATGTTGTACTATGAACATGATTTATCTATTTGAAGATAAAATAATGTAATAAATGTAAAATAACATTTAAAAATTTATGTTAATAGAAGGCAGAGTACCCATAATTGGTGGCTTCCCTGCCCTCACATTTTCAGAAGATAAATTTGTTTTGAACTCATGCCATGTCCATCTTCTGCTTCCTATTCCTACTACCTTCGCTGATTCTCTTTACTATCACAGAGCCCTTTTTTATTTATACAACCAGAAATTGTAAACAGCTTCTGGTATATTTTTGCTTATGAGTTATGTTATGCTCCCTGCCTGTTTTTACTGGGATTTGTAAATATCAGTGTTAATAGGATCTTTCTTTTACTTTTGAAATATCTCCCATCTGTCTGTCCATTTATCTACCTACCTACTATCTATCTACAAATACTATAAAATGAACTACATGTAACATAAGTATATACTGATTCTGTTTTTAGTGTTAAAACTCTGGCTGCCACCTAATTTCTTTCTGCTCCTGCCTGTCTGTGGTTCACTCACCACAGGCCTCCCAGCTGCTCCTTGAGCATTCCAGGCATACTGCTGTGGCAGGGCCTTACACTTGGCTCTTCCGTGAGTCTGGGATGCTCTTCAGTGAGATAGTCTCTTCCTTTGCCTCCTGAAAAATCTTTGCTTAAATGTCTCCTTTACAGTGAGGACTTCCCAAACCACCCTATTTAAAATTTTTACATCCACTTAGTGCTCCTGATCCCCTTTTTGTGATTTGCTTATTTTTTCCCATAGCACTTATCACCTTCTAACATAGTCTGTAACTTATTTATCTTATTTATTGTCTGGCTTCTTCTTTAGTATAAATTTCCATGATGTCACAAAGTATTTTCATTTTCTAGAACTATTTCTGCCACATAGTAGGTGGTCAATAAATATTCGTTGATTGGCTGAATCCAGTTTCTATTTGAGCACAGTGATGAAACAATGATGGAAACAATACTGTTTTCAAAAACATATAAATATGCTCATGTAAATATTGCTACTGTGCATACACCTATGTGATAATTGCAACTACTCAGAAGTTTTTAGTTTCCCTCATTTGGAATCATTTACCAATTTTAACTTAATAAGAGCTTTACTCTTTGTCACATAAGGTTTCTATATATTGCTTAATCTCTCACAAATCTTTAAGGTAGACATTATTACCCCCTTTTACAGAAATCTTACAAAAATACAAGTCACTTGAGTAGGGTAACAGTACTCACTTGGGAGTTGAGATATGAACACAAGCTTCTGTGACGTCAGTCATTATGGTATAGTGTCAAATACGCCTAATCCTAATGACTCCTAATAGTCCTAATAATGCTAAAATATCAAGGTAACAGTTTAAGCCAAAAGAATCTGGTCAGAGAAACTAGCTTGCCCAGTAGAGCTTCCAGTTAATCCCAAACATGTGGTACTTATTTAAACCATACTTTATATTTGTTTTATGCAAGATAATAATTAGATCTCTTGATATTGGCATTATCTGGAAGAAAATGGTTTTTATCTTTTAACTTCTCATGTGTGCACATCTATTTTTTCCTAATATGAGAATTCAAGTTATTAATATGGAGTTTATTTATTTTTTAAATTTTATTTACATATTCAATACAAATGATAAAATAAACACCCATTGATAACTTGCATATGCTCTTTCTTCTCAACCAAGAGCTAAACACTATGCTGAATTTGTGCTTATCACTCCAATTTTTAAAAAAGTTTTTGTTCTTTATAAGAAGGATATCATACCTCTTGGTGGATATATAGTTTTTTGCTTTATCTTATTTATATAGTGTCCCTCAAAGCATTATTTTTAGGGTATAATTCTGACCCAGATTAATAGGATTAGAGAGTTAATAATTCATGGCACATGAAATTCTTTTGGAACAAAATAGTGTTCAAAGTCATACTGTACTTACCACAGATTTCATAATTATTTACTCTTTACATTATGCAACCCATAAAATGTATTAACAAACAGAGTTAAAACTACTTTCCCTCTTTGACTTGAAAATATGCTGAAGAACTGTGTAGTTGGCATTAAGTCAGAGCAAAAATAGACTGTCTTCAATTTAGATCTCTTCCAAGAGCATTTAGGTCATCATTTCATTCTAATGTCTCATAGCATGACACCATGTCAGCGTAATGGAGACTTATGACAGCATGGTTCACATATCAAAAGATCAAGGCAAAATCCAGAGACATTTCTTTTCAAAATTCATGCATATGTGGCAATTACAACTTCAGATAATAAAGGCAGATACCCATATCCAAAGATAATAAGTTCATTTGAGGTCTCAAAATGAAAAAGGTAAACAAGAGATTGCAAACTCTCACTGAAGAGAGAAGTCTGATAGGTAAGTTTTACCCTCCTTACCCCCCAAAAACAGAAAATTAAGAAACATGGCCTCAAAATAGAGTATGTTTAAAGCTGATTGCCTTAAAAGTTATTATGGTTTAATAAAAGCCTCTTTTAAAGACAGCTTATGATACAAATTAAATAATCATGTTAAATGTTAGTTCCTTGTCCCTCATTTATATCAGATATTACAAAAATATACCAAAACAAAATACAGTAATTACAAAGCAATAGCAATGACAGAACAAACTGGAGCACTTCATAGAAAACCATACCTGATGAGGGGAGTAGAATTTCTTGTCACTATTCAGTCTGTTTCCATCCATGGAGAAAAGGAAGCTTCTTCTTTTGACACTGTCCTCAGATTCAGATTTGGGAAACCTGTCTCCCTCTCCTTTGTTGTTTCCTTCAAGATGCTCCCTTTGTCTTCTTTTCTTCCTTCGGTTCCTCCACTCCTTAGCGCTTTTAGAACTTAACTTTGATGCTTCTGAAGAACTTTCCAGGAGCTCTCCTAACCCACCTATTCCACTGAAATCTCTTGAAGCAGCTGATGCTGCTGCAACTGCCTGTTTAAGACAAAGCCAGGCACTGTTTACAACAAGTAATTTTAGAAACAGTTGACTATGTACAAATGTTGCCATTAAGACTACTAACTACAGGTAAACATTGTGTCTTCTGGTCATTACATTGTGTCTTAGAGAGTTTACTTAATAATGACAATTTAAAACAGTATAAAGCAATATGCTAACCTATGCATTAAGGCAGGAAAAGTCTGGTTTGGCGCATCTCTTGGAGAGTCTTTAAAAAAAATAACTCTTTTGAGATTAGCTTCATTTTCAAGGAAAATTTCTCTCTTAAAAATAGCTTCTACATTTTAAAAGCAAATGTTCTCCTAGTGGTGGTTGCTGGTCTGATTACTATTCCAATTCCATCCACAGGCTTGTTCTTCCCACATGTGATTGTGAACAACTGAGTGGTATTTTTTTCCTTCTAAATCTAGGTCTAAGACTTCTTCTTTTCCCCTTTTGTGAACTCAAAGAATTTAAAGTGTGTATTATTTTACCACTAGATAGAAGTAGTGGGAATATATTGGCTAGTTTGACCTCTTCCTTCATTTGAATTACACTTAGTACTATAGTTCACAGCCCTGGGGTTATGTTAATTCCAGAATTAACATGATTAATTTCTTACATAGCATTTTAGCTTTAAATTTTTTAATGTTTATAAATTATCTGTTATAAATAATAACAAATGATTAACATATCAATCAATAAGTACCTGAAATAATCATTTAAGGGATTATAAGATCTTCTTTAAATATTTTCTTTTTATGTTTCAGCACTAAGTATATTTAATCATTTTGAATTTCTGCATGTACTAAAGAAACAACCAGCTCTAAGGTGAAGCACGGCAAATTGTTTTGTAATGAATAGTATTTTTAGACTGGAAGTGATCTAACCATGACTAGAGGATATGAAACAGTGATATAGTTCCTATCAAAGCTGAGTTCTCATTAAGTATATTCCTGTTTTTAAATATGATCATGGAAGTGGAAATGATTAAATTATGAGAATACTGGTTCAATTCTTTACATATGTCATTACTAAATATAAACAACTCTAATTTATCTACCCATTTTGTTTTATTTTCTCCACTAGATATATGCTAGATAGGAATTTTGTCAAATGCATTTGTACACATTGCCTAGTATGTCACCTGACATGAAAAGTGTCCAGTAAGTGTTTGGTGAATAAAGATGAAAAGGGCATTCTGTCAATTGTCTCAGACACTGGGGTGGGTGAAGAATAAGACATATATAGACTTGAATTTTCAAGATACTGTAAAAAACTATGTGTCAGAATGGTCTGTATAACAGGAACATTGTAGGAAAGAAGATAAAATTTATAATGAGTATGACAACATGTGCTTTTTGTTTTTTTCTTCCTGAGGAGAAGCAAATCCTCCACAGTAGCTTCCATTTCTGAATCTCATCTCAACACATTACAAAGAAAAAAAAAAAGTTTTAAATCTAAAGGTGCTATAAATACAAATTCTCTAGGATTGTCATGATCCCAGGGATGGGAACCATAGTACTACATATAGTATTAAATATGTGTTGGGCTAAGCAATGTAAAATGTACATAAAATGGAAAACAGATATTTGTTTATATTGAATACTATATTCAATTTAAGACTCAGTATAAGGCAATGCCTAGTAATTAAATGGAACAGTAATTCAGAATTTGGGTATTTACGGAATTACATACAGTCATATAACCAGATTTTTTATTTAATTCTTGATTATTAGTATCACTTTTAATGTCAGTAGTAGAAGATGAGAAATATTAAAGGCCTTTTGTAAAGATGAATGAGGCTAATGTAAATATATATAAAATAAAGTGAATAAATGAGGCACTTATTTGTAGCAAGTTAAATATAGTTGCTTAGTGCTTGATACATAGAAGATACATAATGTACAGCAGTTGTTGAAAGAATGAATATACATATATTTAATTTTATCCAAATAAAGCCCTTAATTATTCTTTCCACTTTGTATAGACAGTAACACAGTGCAACACATAGCATTAATCATTTATTGACTTGTTTGTAGTTAGAAACAAAGGGAGTGGTGGTAATATTCCTTTGCCATAATCCTGAAACTCATGTTCATTTAAATCACTTCCGGAATTTGTTTTGCATAAGACATGATTTCCCTACCTATTCTGGATAACTGTACAAATAACTCAAAACTAAAGCATTTATAAGGCAACAGTGGTAACCTCCCGACACAACACATTTTCTGTGTCACTCATCAACTCAATCTGTCATTGTTCCACTGCCAGTGATTTGCTGATTCCCTCAAAGGCAGATGTTTCCTGTCACCTCTTATGTCTGTGTACCTGTTTCTACCCATCTCTGCGACAAGACCAATATCCTGCTTACTTAGACTAAGAGTATTGCTTTTACTGGCTTGATGAATTCCTCTTTTTAAAGATTTTTTTTTTAATTTATTTATTGAGAGAGAGAGAATGAGAGACAGAGAGCATGAGAGGGAGGAGGGTCAGAGGGAGAAGCAGACTCCCCGCCGAGCAGGGAGCCCGATGCGGGACTCGATCCCGGGACTCCAGGATCATGACCTGAGCCGAAGGCAGTCGTTTAACCAACTGAGCCACCCAGGCGCCCCATGAATTCCTCTTTTTTTAAAAAAAATTATGTGACAGAGAGAGAGAGAAAGAGCGAGTGCACAAGCAGGGGGAGCAGCAGAAGGGGAGGGAGAAGCAGACTCCCTGCTGAGTAGGGAGCCCAATATGGGGCCCTATCCCAGGATTGTGGGACCATGACCTGAACCAAAGACAGATCTTAGGCAACTGAGCCACCCAGGCACCCCCTTGATGAATTCCTCTTGTAACAAATAACAAATATATGCTTAATATTTACTCAAGGAGTAACATTTAGTTCTTCTTCTTTTTTTTTTTTTAAAGATTTTATTTATTTTTTAACAGAGAGAGAGACAGCGAGAGAGGGAACACAAGCAGGGGGAGTGGGAGAGGGAGAAGCAGGCTTCCCGCGGAGCAGGGAGCCCGATGCGGGGCTTGATCCCAGGACTCTGGGATCATGACCTGAGCTGAAGGCAGACACTTAACGACTGAGCCACCCAGGTGCCCTAGTTCTTCTTATAACATTTCTGTGTGATTCAATGTGAGCTCTATAACTCACTGTGTGTGTGTCCTTAAGAAATAAAGCCGTGTGACTGCTTGTAATTACACTTCACTTTAAAACATAAATCCAGTTTAAAAAGCCCATTCAGAATCACAAGACATTAACTATAATACCTGTTTCAATTTTACCTCTAATTATATTGGCTCTCTTAAATGCCAGTATTTCTAATTTTGTCCCAAAGCTTCCTATTAAATTTTTCCTATCAGAGTTGTATACACTGCTATGGCATATGCTGTCTTGGGCACCATTAGGCATTTAAAGACCACAAATTAAATGCCAAGCACAGTTATGATGATTCAGTGTAAAACATTTTTTTTTTTTTTGGTTGGGTTTTGTCTTCAATCATCCTTTAAAGTTACACTTGATTTGTGAGTTCACTGAGCTTACTGTTACTTTTTCATGTCTAAACAAAGACTAGCTTTAGGAGGTCCTTCAACAGATACTAAATGAAAATGGAAGAGATGCTAGGCCTCATGAAGTCATTGGCTAGATGGTACCTTTGAAGAGTGACAGGTGGTTAGCAAGACATAAGTTACAGTGGAGCACCAATGATCTCATGGGTAGACTATGTCTCCCTCTCTGTCTGCTTCCAACACCTTCCTCTGTTTCAGTACTGGCTATTTACTGCACATTGTCACCTGTGTTCTCAATAAGGAGGTAAAATTGGATTGGTACTGTGTCATCCCAGTCCAAATTAAAACACTGGGATCATTTACCCTAGGATCAGTTTAAATTTTTGTACATATGAAGCTAAAGCTGAGCCAAATCATGATTTGATCACTGGAATTCAGTAACTGACTTTTAAGTGAAAAGAATGCACATTTTTTAGTTGACCTAATTAGGATGTAGATAATTAGATTCTTTAAACTTCTAACAGACATTGTGCACTTTTACTTCTAAATTTAAAAGATACTACTCTTTTAATTGATGCTATATTTTACCCTAAAGTGGCTGAATTTCAGAATGTACTCTTACTCCTGTACTATATATCTATATAGTATTTTCAAGCACATTGCTTTGTCTGTTTTTATAAAGGATAATAGAATAATCCAATGCTATAAAATACATTTATGTACAATCTACAAATATTATTTCCCATATTCATTTAAAACTTTGAAATAAATAATTGCCCTGTAAATAGATAACATATTTCATTCTTACAAATGTTTTATTTATAGTGATCTGAAATAAACTCTTTTTTTTTTTTAAAGATTTTATTTATTTATTTGAGAGAGAGAATGAGATAGAGAGCATGAGAGGGGGGAGGGTCAGAAGGAGAAGCAGACTCCCTGCCGAGCAGGGAGCCTGATGCGGGACTTGATCCCGGGACTCCAAGATCATGACCTGAGCCGAAGGCAGTCGCTTAACCAACTGAGCCACCCAGGCGCCCTGAAATAAACTCTTAAGTACTTAAAATGTAGTAGAACTTTCTGCCAAGCATGAGGTATATTTTATGAGATTTTTAAGTGTCACCAAACTTATTTAAAGCTTTCCTTATAAAATCACTAAAATATAGCCATGATACTACTCTGTGCCCAATGGTAAGAGGAAAATAGTAAAGCTAGCATGTTTAAGAAATGCTAAGAATATGGTTGGGCTGGGTAACCAGCTAAACAGTTCATTGTCAAATCCCTGTCTCACCAAAAAATGCCTCAAAGAAAAGGACTTAATGCTATATGTTGTGCATCTTCAAATTAACTCAGAATTATTAAAAACTTAAATTTTGACTCTACCCATTGAATCTATAAATCTGTCATTCAAATAATGCTTTAAATATCTGGAACTGTCCATCTGAAAAAAAAACAACAACACTATGTATCAAAAAGCCACTATGTACAAAAGCTGTTTGGACTACTGCTCCTGGCTAAGATATAGTAACAGGGATTCACTGTCCCTCCTGAAACAACCACCAAAACAAACAAAATACATGTAACACTGGTTTTGAAGACACTGCATTAATGGCACATTGGGTAGAGTGTTCAAAAGGATCTTCACTCAGTGGTAGGGAATAGTTAGCCCTAGACTAGATGCTCTGCTAGTTCTACCTAACAAATCTTCAAAGGTTTTGAAATGGAAAAGTATCAAGCTGTTTATAAGTAATGTAACTAATGTCCCCAAATAAGGATCAAGGATTTTTATAGGAATACAAACATATCCAGCACCCCAAAAAGGTAAAATTAACAGTGTCTGGAATTCAATTGAAAATTGTCAGGAATGCAAAAAAAAAAAAAAATCAGAAATATATGGCCAGTAGTGAAGAAAAAATTTAATTAAAACTGATCAAGATCTGACGTTAGAATTAGAAGAAAAGGACCTTAAATAGTTACTATAACAATATTGTGTATGTTCAAAATGCTAGAGACATGGGAAATATAAAAGAGATGCAGATCAAGGTTTTAGAGATGAAAACTACAAAAACTGAAATGAAAAATGCACTGGATAGGATTAATAGTTTAGCAGACATTACAGAAGAAAAGATGATAAACTTGAAGACATAGCAACAGAAACTAATGGAATGGAAATTGACAAGGTAATTCTAAAAGTCCTATGAAGCTGGAAAGGACTTAGAATGGTTAGAACAGCTTTGGAAAAAAAAATTGGAGAGCTATAACTATCTGATTTCAAGATTTATTAAACAGCTACAGAAATAAAGAGAATGTGTATTGCTGTAAAGAGAAACAAATCAATTGAACAGAACAGAATAAACAAATCCCATTCACATCTGGACAACTGATTTTTGACAAGGTTCAAAGGCAATTTAGTGGAGAAAGAGTATTTTGTTCAACAAATGGTGCTGCCCCAGTCAGAACGGCTAAAACTAACAAGTCAGGAAATGACAGATGTTGGCGAGGATGCAGAGAAAGGGGAAGCCTCTTACACTGTTGGTGGGAATGCAAGCTGGTGCAGCCACTCTGGAAAACAGTATGGAGTTCCCTCAAAAAGTTGAAAATAGAGCTACTCTGCAACCCAGCAATTGCATTACTAGGTATTTACCCTAAAGATATAAATGTAGTGACCTGAAGGGGCACCTGCACCCATCAAAAAAAGAAAAAAAAGAAATCTTGTCATTTGCAAGTGGGTGGAACTAGAGGGTATTATGCTAAGCGAAAAAAGCCAATCAGAGAAAGACAATTATCCTATAATCTCACTGATATGTGGAACTTAAGAAACAAAAAAGAGGATCATAGGGGAAGAGAGGAAAAAATAAAACAAGATGAAATCAGAGAGGGAGACAAACCATAAGAGGCTCTTAATCATAGGAAACAAACTGAAGGTTACTGGAGGGGAAGGGGGTAGACAGATGGGGTAACTGGGTGATAGACATTAAGGAGGGCATGTGATGTAATGAGCACTGGGTATTATATAAGACTGATGAATAATTGACCTGTACCTCTGAAACCAGTAATACATTATATGTTAATTAATTGAATTTAAATTTAAAAAAGAGAAAAACAACAACAAAAACAAATGGTAATGTAGTAATTTGATACCCATATGCAAAAAAAAATCTCAACATATAAATTACACCTTACACAAAAATTAACTGAAGATGGGTCATTGACCTAAATATAAAACATGAAACTATAAAGCTTTTAGGAATAAAAATAGGAAATCTTTATGATGTTGATTTGGCAAAAATAGATACAACACCAAAAGCATGACCAAACAAACAAAACCTGATAAAGTATACTTCATCCAAATTTAATTTTTATCCAAAAATACTATTAGGAGAATGAAACGGCAAGTTACAGATTAGGAGAAAATATCTGCAAAGCATATATATCATTAAGGACTAAAGGACCAGGATATATAAAGACTACTCGAAACTCAAGAAAACAAAATGGGCAAAAGATTTAAACATCCACTTCACAATAGAAGCTACACAGATAGAAAATAACATGAAAATATGCTCAACATCATTAGTCATTAAGAAAATGCAGAATAAAACAATGAGGTACCTAGTAGAATGGCTAATAAGACTGACCATACTGAGTACGGATAAAGATGTAGAGGAACTCTTATTACCATGAGTCAGATTTTACTGTCTTCCCATGATTTTCACCTTCAATTTATGTGTTTTTTTTTCCTTTTAAGCAAATACTGTTCTGTCTCTTCCCTCAAGACTTGAATGCCCCATTCACTATGCCTTGAGCTCAAATAGCCTTTCAATATTAATGAGAATTTAAAGTTGTCATCTAATGCAGATGCTTTCCTGATATCCCGATAGGGGCTGTAGCAGACACCTTTTATGCTATAGAAACCCCAAAGAATGGTTAAGAGTAGGTATACATAAAGTTTTCTTGTTAACATTTGAGATCAATTAACTTCAGAATAAAACCTTAAATGTTATAATTAGGGGCGAAAAATGAATAGTTGGAAATATCAGTTATGCATCTTTTCACATTAAACTGAATGTCAGATTCTCCCCTCAGGTTTCATGAGACACTTCCATAGTTTACCTTATCTTGAAAGTGTTTTCTACCCCAAAATAATTTGTTTATATATAATGTCAAAAAGTTCCTTTGATCTCAATTTCAGAAATAATTTTAGGTTTGAATAGCTTTCTCTTATTTCTAATGATAATGCCTGTATACCAAATGAAAAGCTGGTTTGACCTCTATGCTACAACAATATTCCTACTTAAAACTTACAATAATAATAACAGTAACAATAATAATAAAACTTTGCTTATTATCACTCAGTACCTGAGCTTCTTCCTGTTGCTTTTTAAGCTGTTCCAGCATTTGCTGAAATTCAGCCTCTTTCTGTTCTGCCTCTTCCAAGGTGGCCTGATTCTGTTCCTCATAGGCCATGGCCACCACAGCCAGGATCAAATTCACCAAATAGAAAGATCCCAAGAAAATCACCAGGACAAAAAATATCATGTATGTTTTTCCAGCAGCACGTAATGTCTAGGGGAAACAAAGGATAATTTCATCGGTATTTTATATAATGTCCCCAAATAAAGATTTGATTTCCATAATTAGGTAGTGAGGAGATGAATACTTTTTAGCATCCAGTGTATTTTGACCAAGATTTGTTTGCTGTTAAAATGAACACATGTGTAAGTGCATGCATACGTGTGCACACACACACAAATAACATTTAAATTAATCTGAGCCTTGACTGTAGTGTCATTTGATACAAACACACATTTCAAATTAGTATATATTGGATATATATACGAAACCCTACGAAAATCTTAGAGTCCACTATTAAACAAATAAGAACACTACCTTTAATTCCTTTCAATGGAGTTCTACTTCCATGGCGGCCTACACTACACCATCTAAAGATAACATCTTTCTTTCCTCCTTTTCTAGCCCCAATTAACCATGGGTTTAACTTGAAATTTTTTATGTAATTGATTTTTAAATATTTTCACATGTTCTTTTTATATCTACAATTAGATTATGAACTCAAAGCCATGAACATTCTTTCCATCTTCCATAGTTCCTAGCAGAATGTCCTTCATATAAGAAGTTTTTACTGTACATGTACTGACTGAATGAACAATTGGGATTCTAGGCATATTTGCTTTGTACTGGACCCTCCTCTGTATTCTAGAGTCTTACTAACAAGTATTGATACTTGTCAGTTCATTTATGTTCATAAAATTAAATCTCACACATGTTAATTTGAACCTTACTGCTGTGGTCTGAATGCTTGTGTCTCCCCAAAATTCCCCAGTTGAAAATCTAGTGCCCAGTGTGATAGTATTAGAAGATGGGGCCTTTGGGAGGTGATTAGATGGTGAAGGTGGAGCTGTCAGGAATGGGATTAATGCCTTATAAAAAGCACCTCCAGAGAGATCCCTAGCCCCTTCTATGCAGATGATGACACAGCAAGAAAATGCCAGCTTATGAACCAATAAGGGGCTTTTGCCAGAATGAAGCCATGCTGGCATCTTGATCTTAAACTTCCCAGTCTCCAGAACTATAAGCCATCCACTTCTGTAATTTATAAGCTATCCAGGCTGTGGTATATTGTTGTAGCAGCCCTAATGGATTAAGACACTTACCAACTGGTAAAGGTTCTCCCAGTAGTCTTGAGTCATGAGTCGAAATAGAGACAAGAAAGCCCAACTAAAGGTATCAAAGCTTGTGTATCCATAGTTGGGGTTTCGGCCAGCCTTCACACAGATGTATCCTTCTGGACACTGGCTATAAGAGAGAGAAATGGTGCTAGCGTCAGGTTGGCAATTATTACCATTTCAATTGATGTTGATTTATAGGAATTCTCAAAACCCAGGGTTGTTGTCTATGATGGATTTTCTTGCCTTCATTTCCAGAGCACTTTAGGTAATTGCTTACAGTGATACTGTTATTAGATGAAATTTATTAGGAAAACCAATAGAAAACTGGGATGCAAGGAGTCAGATTTGCAGACATTTAGAATGGCAAAGAGGCAGCAACCACACACTTTTGCCTCTGACTTCATCAGTGTCTTGCTCTTTACAAAGTGGCAAGAGTAAATAATTAAAAATGAAAGGCCAGAAAACAAAGGGTAGGGAACCACTTAATGAGCTACTTCAGTAGGCGCTTCTGTAGAACTTTATAAAATAAAGCTTATATTTTAGAATATTTGAGATTTACAGAAAAATTACAAAGAGGGCCCAGAATAAATGCCCTGTTTCCATGCTCACTTTCCTCTATTGTTAATATGTTAGTATGTTAGTATGGTACATTTCAATCAATATTGATACATTATTATTAACCAAAGTCCATACTTCATTCAGATTTCCTCAGTTTTTCCTTAATATCCTTTTTTTTCATGTTCTTCAATTGTTCTTTTTTTTAAATTTTATCATGTTATGTTAATCACCATACATTATATCATTAGTTTTTGATGTAGTTTTCCATGATTCATTGTTTGCCTATAACACCCAGTGCTCCATTCAATACATGCCCTCTTTAATACTCATCACCAGGCTAACCCATTCCCCCAATCCCCTCCCCTCTAGAACCCTTTGTTTCTCAGAGTCTGTAGTCTCTCATGGTTCGTTTCCCCCTCCAATTCCCCCTGTTCATTTTTCCCTTCCTACTATCTTCTTTTTTTTAACATATAATGTATTATTTGTTTCAGAGGTACAGGTCTGTGATTCAACAGTCTTACACAATTCACAGCTCTCACCATAGCACATACCCTCCCCAGTATCTATCACCCAGCCACCCCATCCCTCCTACCACTCCAGCAACCCCTAATATCCTTTTTATGTTTCAGGATCCCATTCAGGATACTATATTACATTTAGTCACCATGTCACTTTAGGATCCTCCTGATAAAGTTTCTTAGACTTTCCTTGTTTTTGATTATCTTGATAGTTTTAGGAATACTTTCTGGTATTTTGAAGAATGTCTTTCAATTGGAATTTGTCTGACATTTTTCTCATGATTAGATTGGGGATGGATTTTTGGGGAGGTAAAATATCATTATTGTCACATCATATCAAGGGTACATATGATCAATATGACTTATCACTGTTGATACCAACTTTTGTCACCTGATTGGAGGTAATGTTTGTCAGGTTTCTTCACTGTACATTTACTCTTTCTTTTTTTTTCCCATACTGCATTCTTTGGATAAAAGTCACTATGTGCAGCCCACACATTAGGATCCACCTTCTTAAGAGTAGAACATTTACAGAGATTATTTGGAATTCTTTTGCATGGGGGATTTATCTATTATATCTCATTTATTTATTTATCTATTTCCTTTTCAATTATTTCTTTATATGAGTAGGTACTCATGATATTCATTTCATACTTTGAGTTCTAATTTAATTGTTTTATTTATTTTGTTGCTTAAATTGTTCCAGTGTTAGCCATTGGGAGCTTTTCCATTGACTCCTGTATCTCTTTGATATAACCCTATGGTTCTGTGTGTTCTGTTTTTGTTTGTTTTTTAGCACTTTCTTACTTTGTGGCACTACAAGATGCTTCAGACTCATCTTTTATATTTCCTGCTCTAGAATCGGCGATTTCTCCAAGAAGTCCTTGTTCTTTTATTGGAGAACAGTATTAGAACCCAGGACAAGTGTGTGTGTGTTTGTGTGTGTGTGTGTGTATACACATATATCTCCTTGCTTTGTCGACTGAGGACCTAGAAGCAATGACACTGCCTTAGCAATAAACATAGCACCCAGATCTGGCTTCTAATAACACATATGTGTATATGTATATGTAAACATCTGTGCCTCTATTAAGCTAAACAGGAGGTCATACTGTTTCCAACCCTATTTCATCACCTCATGATATCATTCTAGACTCCTACCTTTGCGTATCTATAACTTCTCATTCCAAAAGTGGCTGGCTTCTATCATCTACTATCTATATGCTTAATTGTTCAATACTAGTATACATGGATAGTTGTTTCAGGATTGCTAATCCATACTAGCATGGGAAACAACTTTATCAACTAGAGTACAGTTTTTTTTTTTTTTTTTTTTGCCTTTGCCTTGCACACTCCACTTCCAAAGTTGTTTAGATCAACACCTATTCTCCTACTCTTTCAGTGAGGTTATTTTATACATTATAAATATATTTGTATCCCTTTGTTACATTCTGTTTTTCAGCCGGGGATACCCCAACCATACAAATGCTTCTTTTTATTTGCATACACTTAACTCTTTGTGCTGTTAAGTTCTATGAGTTTTGACAAATGCTTAATGCTCACCATTACAGAATCATACAGAAGTTTTTCCACTCTAAAGAATCCCCCATGCGTCACCCAGTCAACCCCCTACCCTGAACCCTTGAAAAACACTGATTTTTTTTTATCATTTCTATTGTTTATCTTTTTTAGAATGTCATGTAATTCGAATCAAACAAATATAGGTTTTTCAGATGGGCTTCTTTTCATGTATTAATATGTATTTAAGGTTCATCAATGTCTTTTTGTGCTTGATAGCTCATTTTCTTTCTTTTTTTAAAAAAGATTTTATTTCTTTATTTATTTGTCAGAGAAAGAGAGCACAAGCATGGGGAGCGGCCGGCAGAGGGAGAAGCAGGCTCCCTGCCGAGCAGGGAGCCCGATGTGGGACTTGATTCCAGGACCCCGGGATCATGACCTGAGCGGAAGGCAGATGCTTAACCAACTGAGCCACCCATGTGTCCCTCATTTTCTTTTTATCACTGAATAATATCCATTCACTGGATGAATACATCACAGTTATCCATTCACCTTTTGTGGGACATCTTGGTTGTTTCCAGTTTCTTGTGATTATGAATACAACTGTTATAAATACTCACATGCATGTTCAAGTTAATTGGCCAAATATCTAGTAGGGAAATTGCTTGATCATATGGTTAGACTGTGTTTATTTTGTAAGAAACTGCCAAATTGTCTTACAAAATTGTTGCACTATTTTGCATTCCCTCCAGCAATGAATGAGAATTCCTGTTGTTCTGCATCCTCACCAGCAGTTGGTATTACCAGTTTTTTTGGATTTTAGCCATTCTAATAGGTATATAGTAGTAACTCATTGCTGTTTTAATTTTCAATTCCCTAATGACAAATGATGTTTAGCATCTTTATATATCCTTATTAGCCATCTGTATATATTCTTTTGTAGGGTGTCCAGATTTTTGCCTATTTTTAAATTGAGCTATTTGTTTTCTTTTTGTTGAGTTTTAAGAGTGCTTTGTATAGTTTGGTTACAAGTCTTCTTTTCAGATAAATATTTTGCAAGCATTTTCTCCCAATTATGGCTTATTTTTTCATTCCCTTTATAGTGTCTCCGCAAAGCAGAAGTTTTTAATTTTAATTAAGATTTTTTCTTTCCTGGATTGGGTTATTGGTGTTTAAAACTTATCACTAAATCTGAGGATATGTAAATTATATTCTCTGCTTTCTTAAAGAAGTTTTATGGTTTTGTATTTTACATTTAGGTCTATGGTTGATTTTTTTTTTCCGGTGGTTTTTATTTATTTATTTATTTATTTATTTTTATTATGTTATGTTAATCACCGTACATTACATCATTAGTTTTTGATGTAGTGTTCCACGATTCATTGTTTGCGTATAACACCCAGTGCTCCATGCAGAACATGCCCTC